TCAGCACATCCTCGGATACGAGGTCGTGCTGGTAATAACCCAGGAGGACGGCGGGAAGCAGAGAGATCAGCTCAGGGCGATCCTTGCCAACAAAACGCTCGGTACCGCCGAGGAAGGCCTTCTCGTGGCGCTCAGAAGTGATCATCTTCTTCAAAAAAGCAGCGCGGGTGGGAATCTGCTTGACGATCTTCTCGTCGAAGATGGTCTGAGCAAGAACAGCAACGGTCTTGTGCTTGTTCTCAATACCGAACTCCTTGGCCTTCATGTAGATATCGACGTCGCTAACGGCAGCGACGCCACCCTTTTCAGAAGCGGTCTCGAGAATCCAGCTGCCAAGCAGATCGTATGCAGACGGTCCATCAGCCTCTCCGTCTTCATCGACATCCTCAAGGACGAGAGAACGCTTCAGGTCGTCAGGAAGCTCCTTGGCGCGAGCCTTGACGGCCTCCTCAGAAACGTCCACAGCCCATTCGTCGTCTTCAATGTCGTTCTCGGCTTCGATGCCCTGAGCCTCAGCCTTAATGCGGCGGGTGAGTTCGTCGTCGCTGTTGGCTTCCAAGGCAACATCCTCGATTTCACCGTTGTCGGAGTTGCTCTCTCCAGGGCTGACATCCTTGTCACCGTTGACTGCCTCCTCGTTCTTCTTGTTCTTGCGAGCTCTTCTGGCGGCCTTGTCCTTCTTCCCTCCCTTGGTAGAAGCACGGTCGCGGATAATGAAGGTGCTCAGCTTCAGACGGGGATCAACATCGGTGCGCTGACCACAGGCCTTGCAGTCAAGGATGATCTTCTCGTCCTTGATGATGACATCCGTTTCAGGATTCTTACATTTCTTGCAAAGCACAAACTTGGCGATGAAGCCATCAAGGTAATCCTGAAGCTTGGCAGCATCGTGGGCGCCGTTGATGATCCAGCGATCATCGGTGGGCTTAGCGTTAGCCTGAGCACCAAGTTCAAATCCGAAGTACTTGATCACATAAGACGGAGGACGGCTCAAAGACTGAGCGACCGAGTTCAGGTTGACGACCACGGTCTTGATACCGTTACCCTTGCCTTCAATCTTGGACTGGAGGCGCTCCATCTTGTAACGATAGAAAGGATCGGTGACATCGCGACGAATGTTGACGGTAGCCATTTTGACGGTTGTTGAGGATGGTTATTTTTCACGAACTTATGAGAGAACGAGCTGTTTGAAAAGGAAGCGGGAGGGACTATGGACCAGGAATATCTTGACAAGACAAGACATGCGTAGCGGATTCCTCGACTTTTGAAAAAGTGGTCGTGGTGGAAGGTTAGAATCGTCTCAACTGAACGATTTCACAGCAGATACAGCAACCCTGGGTTTCAGCCACAGGACTTTGAATGTATACTACAAGGTTTCAGCTCGGAGCGAAACGTTTGCAGCTTGAGCGGCAGGTGGTGTTCGAAATCTCTGACGCAGGACGAATACATAGACAAGTTCTCGACCGACTCTTTCTTTTGAGTGGCTTTCTCCGGTAGTTGGGAAAGAAACCAGCGGATGGTTCTTCTGGAAAGTGAGAGGCAACTAAAGTCAGACCTCGAAACTCGTGGTGGCGGACGGTTGACGAAAGGACCGTATCAAAAACTAACCAGAGTGGCTGTTCTTCGAACAAAACGAGAGCTGAAAACTCGCTATATGTTTAACAGCTGGAGCGTGTGATGTCGACGAGATAACAGCGTCGAAGCTGATGGATTAAATGATGCAGAAGATGCAGATGGATGAGTTGAGAGTGTGAGAGTGAGTGTGGGTGTGGGTGTGAGAGAAGAAGAAGAGAAGAGAAGAGAGAAAGAAAGCGGAACGAGGAAAGAACTTGAGGGCCAAACAGAAACGCTCGGAGCCGAAATGCCAAGAAACGCAGAGAAAAATTTCATGGCTGCTGACTCAGCGCTGATGCCTGCCGACTTCCGGAGCACCGGGCTGGTTCTCCGAGGGCACGTGCTTCCCCTCGGTCTTGTACGGATAGGATTCTTCTGTTGATAACTGGATGCTCATCTGTCTATCTATGCTTCATAAGATGACCATCTGGAAGTATGTTCCATTTGGATTCCGAGAATTCTCATTGCTCATGTAAGGCTACGACATCAGTAGCGAGTAGAGACGTTCATTGCATGCTTGACCCCTCGGTTTCTCTAATCCTCGTGCATGGGTCACATGATCTCTATCTTACTCTCCCTGGGGCAGAACGCAGGACATTCGAATCACTATACAGCGCACATAACCAAAAATGTGTGGACTGAAGAAGAATTATACTTGAGCTCTGCATCATTGGCATGAAGCGATTGATTATCCGTCCACGACTTTGCGGGCAAGGGTGTTTGTTCTGTACCTTAGTCGTATCACTGCATCTATATTTGTATCACCCAGAGATGTCATTATATAGATTGTTTTATTGATATCAGTAACCAGCTATTACGGACGATTCTCACGGTGTCCAAGAAGTTTGGAGTAGTAGAAACTATTCATCTAGAGCAAATCTGATGTCCGAATTCAATATCAATTCCTGAATTAAACCTCACCGGGTGTCCCCACACGATTCCAACGTCATTTGATGCTTTCTCTGTCTCGGAGTCCCATATCCTTGTATCATAGGAGAGCCTACACCAGCGACTACATATTCGTGCGTCATTTGCATAAACGTTACTTTAGGTAAGAGTTCTTCTAATGTTACTACAACTCTTTGCTGCCTCAGACTCATTTCTCTCATATCAATTTTAAAGCCTCTCCTGCCCCTCACTGTTCAATCTATCCGAAAACTTCTTGCTGACAACGGCATTAGAAAATGCCTCTAAACCTATCAGTATACCTGGTGACAGATTCGACCCCAGCCATACTTAAAGGCCGGGATCTGTGCACTGTGGTAGAAGAAGCCTTAAAAGGAGGTCAGTCAATGTCGCACTCGTCTCGCACAGCAACTTCCTGTGCTAATGTGCGGCATCAGGTGTGACCATTGTTCAATATAGAGACAAAAAGAGCGACACAGGTGACTTGATCAAAACGGCTAAAAAGCTGCACGAGATCACCAAAGCTCATGGTGTCCCCTTGTTAATCAACGATCGCGTCGATGTTGCTCTCGCTGTTGGAGCAGAAGGCGTCCATCTTGGGCAGGACGATATGTGTACGACCCATATCCTCAGGCGATCGCTATTGATCCTTACTGATACGATTGGGCACAGACATCGAGGAGGCGAAACAGCTGCTTCCTAAAGATGCTATTATCGGAATCAGTGCGTCTTCCGTCGAAGAGGCCCAGAGAGCCATCGACGCGGGTGCCGATTATCTGGGTATCGGAACCATGTTCGCAACGCCGACGTAAGTTGCCATCTGGACGGAGGATCCATGGATGATCTGGCCACAATTTGATCTGACACTTGCCAGTAAAACGAATACGAAACACATCCTCGGAACAGCAGGCACTCAAGCGATTCTTGACGCTATTTCAGACTCGGGTCGAAATGTCGGGACCGTCTCTATTGGCGGCATCAACCTTGCGAACGTCCAGCGTGTGATCTACCAGTCCAAAGCGCCCAGGAAGGGACTGGACGGTGTCGCAATCGTCAGTGCCATCATGGCAGCAGATGACCCGCGCGCTGCGGCCGAGGAGTTTGTCAAACGTATCAACAGCCCACCCGCCTTCGCATGGGAACCCAAGGCACCTCGTACGAATGAAGTTGCAGCATTGGTCGAAGAGGTGCCTCAGATCGTTCAGAAGATGGTCAAGGCACACCCTCTGGTCCATAACATGATTAACTACGTGGTGGCCAATTTTGTTGCCAATGTTGCTCTCGCGATGTACGTCTTCATTCCCTAAAGCTATAGTTGATTCATTTAACCGACTTCCAGGGGCGCTTCCCCAATCATGTCCCCATACGGCGAAGAAGCCGTCGACCTGGCCAAATTCGACGGAGCTCTTGTCATCAACATGGGCACCTTGTCGCGCGAAAGTGTACCAAACTACCTCCAAGCGATCAAATCGTACAACGAGCGCGGAAACCCTGTGGTCTACGATCCCGTCGGCGCTGCTGCAACCCAGGTCCGGCGCGGGGCTGTCAAGGAGCTTATGAGAGGGGGCTACTTTGATCTTATCAAGGGAAACGAGGGAGAAATCAGACAGGTGTCTGGGAGCAGTAATGCAGTCCAGCGCGGCGTGGACAGTGGACCAAGCACTCTTGACGGGCAGGAGAAGGCTAGATTGGCACGGGATCTAGCCAGAAGAGAGCGTACGCGGTACCGTTCTTCCAAGTGAGATCTAGTTGCTAACCCTGACAGGGAACGTCGTCCTTTTGACCGGCGCTGTTGACTATCTAAGCGACGGCGAGCGTGTTGTCGCTGTCGAGAATGGCCATGAATTCCTTGGACAAGTCACGGGCGTACGTCTAACACTTTCCTTTCCTCAACCTCCTGCTAACTCGACGTACAGACTGGTTGTGCCGTGGGAACGGTATCTGGCTGCTTCCTGGCTGCACACCCATCCGACAAGCTCCTGGCCGTTCTGGCAGGCATCCTGATGTACGAGATTGCGGCGGAGAACGCCGCATCAAAGGAGTACGTCCGGGGCCCGGGAAGCTTTGTCCCGGCTTTCCTGGACGAACTCTACGCCATCCGGCAAGCAGCTCTCAAGGGTGACGACAGCTGGTTCTCCGGACGGGCAAAGATCCAAGAGATCAAACTCTAGCAAGAACCCGTCAGTGTATATAGACCATGTATACCCGTTAAATAAAAGCTTTGATATATGCCATAAGAATTAGCTGGCAACAGAGTGGCAGAGACTCTTCGCGTTGCAGCCTGATTTCTCGGGCGAAAAACTTCCCCGCACAGGTCCGGATTTCCCCGCCATCTTCCTCCGCAGCAACAACCATTCGGCCTCTTTTAAAAGTCTTTATTTCATGATTCCATCCCCGTCCCAACCCAAACTCACAAACTAATTGACACTCTCAATCATCCATCACCTCGAAGACACTCAAAAGCACACAAGCAGATCACAATGGCAGCCGTCTCACGAGCCTGCCGGATCCGTACGCCGACTCCTCCCAATTGACCCTCTGAATACAAGCTAACCACTACACCAGGCAACCCAGCTTTATTGTACGCCTCCCCCACCTAAGCAGAGACTACCCCCCCTACTCACCACCCCGAAAAAAAGCATCTGTGACATCCAAGAGAAATTCCGCGCCATCCACGAGTTCCCAAAGCTGTACGCCCCTCACCCCCAGCCCTACCCTGACCAAAGCACCAGGCAAACTGACAAGAAAAACAAGCATCACCACAACCACCAAGCTCCTCAAAGCCTCCTCAACGCTCAACATCCCCGTCTACATCACAACACAGAACCGCCCCCGGCTAGGCGACGTCGTCTCCGAACTGCGCCCCTACCTCTCCACCCCGCTCGTCCGCGCAAACATCGACAAGACCCTCTTCTCGATGATCACGCCGGAACTGGATGCCCTGCTTCCGAACGCGAAGGCTGGCGAGCAGCCCCTCGATGTGATCATCGTGGGGATAGAGACGCATATCTGCATTACGCAGACGACGCTGGATCTGCTTGAGCGCGGGCATAGGGTGTATGTGATTGTTGATGGGGTGAGCAGTATGAATAAGGAGGAGAGGGGGGTGGCGCTTGCGCGGCTGCAAGATGCCGGGGCGATTGTGACGAGTAGTGAGGGGGTTTTGTTTGAGATTTTGGGGGATGCGGGCAGGGCGGAGTTCAAGGCTGTTAGTGGGTTGGTGAGGGAGATGAAGGACGAGACGAGGGAGGCGATGGAGGTGTTTTCGAAGATTTGATTTTTTTTTTCTCTTCCTATCGGGTCTGGGTAGATGTTGAAATGCGTGTCTGTTAAAGTGCGTGTATGAAGGTCTGTATATGAATAGACATGACCAGGAGGCCACGCTGGATGTGCCTAAAGATATATAACTTGATTGCTAGTATTGCTGACTCATTTTGTCTACAATCGTGACCTTCCAATCATTTTTCAAAACGCCGTTTCCCTTCGTCAATTCCTGATATATTTCATTTAGGCATTGTTACAACGCGTTTAGGCGGCTGGGATGGATTGAGCCAGCCAAACGCAGAAGCCCCGCCGATAGGATTCGGAGCCCACTGTTTGCCGGTCCGGCTTTCGTCTGGGGACGCTCCACAGGACGTTGGCTGAGGAGACGCCGAAGCCGCCGCAGCGTCAGTACCGGCACCGCTTGACACCGTTGGCACTCGTGTAGAAGACTTGGTCGGCCGTAGAACTTTCATCGTACGACCCCGAGATGGCTTGCTCGCGCCGGACGATGCCGGGTCCATTTTGGTATCCCGTCTCCATGCACTCCAGACACCTGCAGTTTCAGGCTTGGCGGCTTCGTTGGGCTGAAAGTCGATCGCCGAGGTGGACTTGCTCAGGTCTTCCTGAGCTTCAGTCACTGGGGACACGTTGCGAGAACCCGGTGAATGTGTCTTTCGACGTTCATCTGGCTCTTCAGTGGATGCTCTTGCGGTGGTAGATGCAGAGGTAGATCGTCGCGATCGACTCGGCTCTCCGATGACCCCAACTCCGGAATCGCCGTTCACATCTGTCGGCCCCTTTTCAAAAACCTGTCTTGTTGAGCGTTCAAAACGCGAGGCATCTGATGCAGTGCAGAGAGATTTGAACACAGAGTCATCCTCCGGCCGGACTAGGGGAATAGAGATCTTGTTCCTTTCGTCATCTACCATGATGATCTTGTCCTGAGAAAACAAGATGTCCGCATTATGAGAGCGGAGAACATCACTTCCGAGGATAATCTGTATGGAATGATCGTTGGGTTCCACATCCCGAACAACAAAGCGGATGGTCAGGGTGGGAAGCTGAGGAACCGGGCTGTTGGGACGAGACGAGGCCTGGTGAACGCTGGCCTCCGGGAGATACATCGGAAGCTTAATGAACCGTACGCCATCCTCCTGCGTTACGAGATCTTCCAGGCCGAGTTTCTGCACCATGGGATACCCAAGCGTCGAGGTGTACGATCCTGAACAGGCAGCAGCATACAGAAGCGAGTCGTTCGAGAAATTTGTCGTCAACCAACATCGAATGACACACGGCACGGGGCCAAGGAGGAATAGACCCGGCGGGGGTATCAGAGGAGAGCCGCCCACAGACGAGCCCATCATGCGGCTCGTCGTCTCCAGCCCTAGACTATTCGTCCGAGCCGAGTGATGTGAATACCCTGAAGAGCTCTGTCGGCCATCAGACCGATGGGACAGCGAGCGTTCGGTGAGTGGATGGCTTCCCATGCCGCTCCCCGTCCTCAGCGGCAGCTCGCTGGTAGATCGGCTTGTTTGTCCATAGTGACCAAGAATAGCACTTTCATCAAACCGGACACTGTTCGCCCTGGATGTCCCTCTCCTCGGTTCGTCTTCGCTCTCGAGGCCCATTGTATTCGCCATTCCGTGGTGCTGGCCCTGATCGAACCCTTTAAAGGCGTCAGCGGGGGCGTGAAAGACTGGCTCTTTGGAGTAAAAGAATTAATATCTATTGTGATACTTGAGTATCTGGGTATAGGGTGCAAAGAAACACACCTGTTGATATCGTACCCCCGACTGAAGTAGGAAATGGCGACAAAGGACCCCAAACACTTCTCAGCCGCGCATCCTCATCCCTCCGTCTTTCCAGTCGTGCAATCCGCTCCGCCTGCTCAAATTGCGCAGCGTGAAGTTCCTTCAACTCCTCAAAGACGCGCCAAATGTCGTCGCGCGAAGCAAAAGGGTACTGAGCGTCCATGTCCACGCCGACGGGAACCGGAATGAAGAGGTCTTCCCCGAGCAGCGAAAGGCGACAGACGGTTCACGTAGAGAGAAAAGATCCAATCCTGCGGTCCACAATCTTGCTCGCCTCACACCGAAGCTTCGTATATCGTCTGCAATACTGCTCGGTTCCCGATCTTGTGTCCAGCTAGTGGCAACTGGCAGCTTGCTTAATCCTCGGACTCCTCCTCCCTCGTATGCTGTGAGACGGCCGTAAGGCCGTCCACCTAGTCTGCTAGTATCTGATTTTCGTGTACCTTGTCAGAACATACAGTTGAGTCAAGGGCACAGTACGATATAAAGGCGGATCGTAAAGCGATCAAGTGGGCAGCGTGGAATCCGACGAAAGTGATGGCGGAAGGGATGCTGTGTATCGGTAACGGCACAGTCAAAAGCTAAGCAATTAGCAGAGTGAGTTTCGAAAGGGACTTGATTCTATTGTAGGGCGGTTCGGTTAGAACGAGGTTTCGATTTTTCACGAATTGGGATCTACGGTTGAATCGGGGTTCTCGCAGGCAGCACAGGGTAGTTGGTTGTTCGGAGAGAAACGCGTGTAAGCTGGATGTTTGCAGCGAGCGCTTGAATTCGTAAGATTAGAGAACTCCGAGAATCTCGAATGATGATATACAAGATTTATCTCGAGAGATATACCCGTATTAGAGCACGAGGTGTGTTAGGGATAGAAGACCGATGATGACGGGATAACGAAGCAAAGGGACGCTGGGCAGTGAGGGGATCACAGGTCCGCCGTCTGTCATTAAACCGGCAACGATCTAGACCGCTTTTATTCTCCTACAGGGTGCACAGTCCATGCCAGTGCTTCTGACATTTGATCAATCATCAATTGTGATCAATCATCGCTATGAAAATGTTTATGTATGATAATGTGCCTTTCTACTGATCAAGTCAGCTTTGGGGTAAGGTGATTCCCACAGATCGATTCTAGGAGCTCATTGCAAGTTTGCAACATCATTTGGGCGCTTCCATCCACCCGGGAAAGACCATCTCAAGTGCCTCAGGGTCTTGGTCCGGCCACTTGGCTCTGATAGTCTTCATGACTTCCTCATACATGAGTCGATACCCGTCGCCGGTCAAATGCAGTCCTGTAACATATCACGATCAGCACGAGCCCCATATGAACGAAAACTGGGAACCAACCATCCGTGAAGAAAGTCTGGAGTTTCTCATTGTTCGGGGCATCTCTCGACCCGATCAGCGGTTCTCCCTCTTTCCAACCTGCCGCAGTCATGAACGCAGTCCAGAGATCTACCACCGCAATCTCTAACGAGGCGGCGACCTCGCGGGCGGCCTCCGAATACAGCTTGGTCTGCTTGACTGTCCTGCTGGGATGAGGCGTGCCCTTTGCGATGTCGAATTCTTCCAACTGATATTCGTTCACCGGTGGCGGGGTCAGGATCAGTATCCTTGGGTTCTGAGCAACTGTCGCCGGGTGCTGGATGATCTTCTTCAGGTTCTCTTTGTAAGTTTCCACTGGGACGTGTTGGTAGTGTCCAGGGACGGCCGCATCATTTGCTCCGAAGAATATTGTCTGGAACAATCAGAACCATGCCTTTGACTCCAGCGACTAGGGCGCCATACCATGAACCGAACAGTAGCCGTCTCCGGCTTGGGGAAGAACTTGGGAAAGACCTTGATCGCATGCGCGGTGCTATAGCCACTGTGGAGGGGTCAGTACAATCATCAATGCAAGCACCATGTTGTCGGAAGCATACCCGAACCCACGGTTAATCACGTCCAAGCGGCGGCTGTAGGCTGTAAAGAATGAGTATCGACAATCGACTCAAGTAGAATGCCATATAGACTGGGCAAAATCTTACCATCCTGTAGAGCGGCATGAAAACCAAATCCCAAACCCTGATCAGAAGACATTTGCGTAATCGAGTCTCCAAATAGGATGAATTGGTCGTATGGCTTATACAAGGCCTCCTCGGCCGATTGGGCGGTTCCGTTAGACATGATGCAGACACGCAGACAGTATTTGATCCTCGGCGATCAGACCAGGTTCGAATCAAGCCACTATCAATTAACAGCACACAGTTCCTCGTTTGCGACGATTGTTCCTCCCGAGGATGAGGCACCTCTTATGGCCAGTGGTGGGGTTGAATCTCGAGGGTTCTCGGCCGCTTATCGGCAAGTCTGGCTAAATTGATTGAACGGTAGCTGGAGAACTACGCTCTATTGGATACGGAGCTTCGGAGGCAGTTTTGGGGTCAAGCTGTCGTGCCTTTTTGTGTGTTTAAAATCGATGCTTATTGGGCTCTGGCAAAAAGATGTTTGTCGGCCAGGGATTATCCACCAACAGCGTTGTTCTATTCTTGTATGCATTTCACGTGGTGTTGATGCTCCAGCAAGTCTGCACAATTTTATAAATATATGTTTACTTGTTCTAAAATTCTCTTATTAATTATCTTTTGGCTTCAAACACTCACAGTCTTTAGCTGATATATTACTAAGTATATTCAACCCAGATGGGTATTATTTTCCTTAATTACACAAAAGTCCGTGATATGCATCAGCAGCAAAGACATGATTCAGGCACAACTTTGTGGGTTAGCTGATAAGCTGATTGAAATGTGTACATCACTGCTCGGAGCTGTCGTTCTTTCCACAGCTTATATCCCTTTGTCAATGCAATAGCTGCAGATGAGAATCCTTAAGGAGCATTACGCCATTTCTTTCCCATCACATGGAGCAGAATGGTGAAAAGGAAGCTAAAGACAAAGAGGAGAGAACTGGTGACCGCAGAACTGGCAGCGACGCCAACATTAGTGAACATGTCGGGGAACCTATCAACAGAATTAGCCATCGCCCGGAGACTTATTACTGCAAGTTCAGCACGGAGACAGGTAATCTTACCAGAACGGACCGATGAAGCCCCACATCTGTCGAACGAATGTGATAAACACTCCAACACTGCCTGAGTCCTGAGGATAGTTGTCAACAGCATAGGTGATAGCCGTCGTGGTCACCAGCTGATTGCCAAAAGCCGCAATGG